TTGTGGAGTATTGCCATCTGAACAGTGTAAAAGTCTTCTGATCCATGAACATGGGGTGTTTTTTCCATTATCTCTTTCAACAGTGTTTTTTAGTTTTCAGAGTAAGTTTTGTACTTCTTTTGTTAAATTTATTCCTAAGTATTTTATTCTTTTTGATGCTGTTGTTGGTGGAAATGTTCCTTAGTTTCATTTTCAGATTGCTCATTACAAGTGTATAGAAATGCAATTGATTTTTATATATTGACTTTGTATCTTGCAACCTTGCTGAACTCATTTATTAGCTCTAGTAATTTTGGAGGTGATTCCTTATGATTTTCTGTATACAAAATCACATTATCTGCAAATATAGTTTTATTTTTCCTTTCCAACCTGGATGCTGTTTATTTAATTTCTTTTTCTTCCCTAGTTGCCCTGGCAAGGAGCCCTGGTGGTTAAGTGCTCAACTGCTAACCGAAAGGTTGGCGGTTCGAACCCATCAGCCACTCAATGGGAGAAAGATATGGCAATGCTTCTGTAATGATTACAGTCTTCGAAACCCTGTGGGGCAGTTCTACTCTGTCCTGTAGGGTCACTATGAGTCAGAATTGACTGGACAGCAACAAGTTTTATGAGTTTAATTGCCCTGTCTAGAACCTCTAGTACAATGTTGAATAGAAGTGGTGAGAGCGAATATCCTTGTCTTGGTCCTAATCTCAGGGGGAGGCATCCAGGTTTTCACCATTATGATGTTAACTATGGGGCTTTCATAGATCTCCTTTATTAGGCTGAGAAAGTTCCCTTCTATTCCTAGTTCGTTGAGTGTTTTTATTATAAAAGGGTGTTGGATTTTGTCAAATGTTTTCCTGTGTCTATTGAAATAGTCGTATGGTTTTGTTTTTTATTCTGTTGATATGATGTATTACACTGATTTTTGTATGTTGAACCAACATTATAGGAACGAATTTGGGAAAGCAGGAAGACAAACAGAAAAAAGCTTACACCAAGAACACCTAGCTTCTAATCCCAGTTCTGCCAGTTTGTGGCCATGGGTTGATGACTTAATCTTTCTGAACCTTAATTTTTTCATCTGCAAAATGGGAATGATAGTCCTTGTCCTGTGTAGCTGACATGGTTTTTGTAAGTAGCCAAGTACTTTAAAAATGTAAGATGTTATTTTTAGTTCATAATAATGACCTAGGTTATTAAGAAAAGGTTAGATTCTATTAGGCATATTATAACTAAGAGAAGTCTTTGTGGCCAGTTTAAAATGAGTTTTGACAATTTTTAAAATAATAAAGTTACATGGTCATAAAGAAGTACGGATCAGTTTTCTGGAAAATGTATTTATGTGGAACAGCTCCATAGTCCATGACAGGGCAGAATGAATGGGCCCTAGCCCTGGACTGAAAGTCAGAATACAATTCTGCTACTTGCTCTTCTTGTGACCTGAGTATTATTACAAAATAAGGTCCCTGAGAGGCACAGTTTGCACTCAGCTACTGACCTGAAGGAACCCTGGTAGTGCAGTGGTTAAGAGCTCGGCTGCTAACCAAAAGGTCGGCAGCTCGAATCCACCAGCCACTCCTTGGAAACTCTGTGGGGTAGTTCTACTCTGTCCTACATGGTTGCTATGAGTTGGAATTAACTCAGTGGCAATGGGTTTGGTTTTTGGTTTTTACTAACCTAAAGGATGGTGATTCAAACTCATCCAGCAGTGCTATGGAAAAAAGGTCTGGTGCTCTGCTTCCATAAGATTATAGCCAAGAAACCCTACTTCTGAAAAATCTGCCATTGAAAACCCTATGGAGCACAGTTTACTCTGACACACTGGAGTCAACTTGACAGCAACAGGTTTGGTTTATTTAATTAAAACATACAGGAAAGGAATGAGAATAATAAATACACTGGTACCCACCGTTTGAGGTTGCTGTGAGTCGGAATCGACTGGGTGGTAATGGGTTTGGTTTTTTGGGTTCCCACTACCCAGATTTAGCAAATTTTACCGCTTTTGCTTTATTTGCCTCAGAAGAAATTTTTTTAGAAATAAAGTATGACAGTTAAGTTGAAATCCCTAATCCATCCCTCTCAGTGCCTCACCAGAGGTCACTACTGTTATTGTTGTTGTTATTTTTCTGTTCTTATATTTTCACTGTATAAAGTATTATTTGGTTTCCTGTACATTTTATGTAAATAATACCTTAGAGTATGCATCATTCTGCAGGTTGCTTTTTCCTTACTTACGTTTGTAAGATGTGTTCATACTGATATATGATTTTAATTTATCAATTTTAACTGCTGTGTAGGTTTTCCTTGTATAGATATACTATAGTTTGTTTTTCAGTTCTTTTTACTGATGGACATTTGGGTTGTTTCGAGTTTTTTGGTATTTACAAACAATGATGAAGTGACTATCTGTGCTCATGTCTTCTGTGTACATGTGTGGGAATTCCTCTAGGCTGAGTATATCCTAGGAGTGAAATTGCTGGGTTGTACTATATGAGAACCTTTACCTTTAATAGAGCAATCAAGTTGCTTTCCAAAGAAGTTGGGCCAATTTATGCCCACGCTAAGTCATCTGTGAGACTTCTTGTTTCTCAGCATTCTTGCTCCTACTTAGTATTGTCACACTTAATTTTATTTTATTTTATTTTATTTTATTTTTGCCAGTCTGATGGCTATAAAATAGTGTCTCATTGTTTTAATTTGAATTTTTATGATTACTAGTGAAGTTGATCGATCGTATGTTTATTGACAGTTCTCGTTTTTTTCTCTGAATTTCCAGTTTCTATCCTTTACCTATGTCTCTATTGAATTGTTTACTTGTCTTACAGATTTGTACAAGTTGTTTATGTAGTCTGAGTATTAATCCTGTGTTAATTATATACATTACAGGTACCTCCTCCCAGGCTCTGGTTCGTGTGTTAACTTCATGATGCGCTTTTTTGTCAAAAGGAAGTTGTAGTTCAGTGTAATCAAATTTAAGTATATTTTTCTTTATTGTACATCCTTCTAAGAAATCCTTTTCTGTCCTGATGTTATACTGATATTCTCCTATATTTTATTCTAAAAGTTTCAAAGGTTTCCTTTCACATTTAAGTCTTCATTTCCTTTAGAATTTGTGGTTTTCAGTGTGCAGCAAGGATCCAGTCTTTCTTTAAAAAACAAAATAACCTGTGGATACCAGTGGTTTCTGCACTGCTTATTGAAAATCTAGTTTATACTCACTGATTTGTAATGCCAGGTCTGTCATAGCCGTTTGTTACGTTCATCTCTGTGCCTATTCCTGCATCACTTCCACACTGCCTTAATTATTATAGCCTTATAATTAAGTCTTTATATCTGGTACAATAAGATGACCCCTTCCCTCCCCACCCACATAATTTTGTTCTTCAGAATTATTTGGGCTGTTCTTCTTGTGACTCTTAGGATCAGCTTATTTAGATCGACAGAAAAATTCGTTGGGATTTTAACTTAACATGCATTTGAAATTATAGATTATTTTCTGAGAATCAACATCTTTATAGTATTAAGTCTTTTTATTCATGAGACAATTTATTGAGGTCTTCTTTTATGTCCTTTAAGAATACCTTTTTTAATTTTCTCTGTAAAAGTCTTGTACATAATTGGTTAGATTTATTCCTAGATGCCTTATACTTTTTGTTGCTAACGTTAATGGGATATTTTTTTCTTTTATATTTTCTAATTATTTTGATATGTGGGGGTGATACCATTGTCTTAGTCACCTAGTGAAGCTGTAACAGAAATACCACAAGTGGATGGCTCTAACAAAGAGAATTTTATTCTCTCACAGTCCAGTAGGCTACAAGTTCAAATTCAGGGCGTCAGCTCCAAGGGAACGCTTTCTCTGTTGGCTCTGGAGGAAGGTCTTTGTCATCAATCTTCCCTTGGTCTGGGAGCTTCTGTGCGCAGGAACCTCAGGTTCAAAGGATGCACTCTGCTCCCTGCACTGCTTTCTTGGTGGTATGAGGTTCCCATGTGTCACTACTCCCTTCTCTCTTTTATATCTCAAAAGAGATTGGCTTAAGACACTACCCAGTCTTGTAGACCTCATCAGTGTAACTGCCACTAATCCATCTTTATTACATCATAGTGATTGAATTTACAACACATAAGGAAATCAAATCAGATTACAGAATGGTACACAGTTATACAATACTGGGAATCATGACCCTGCCAAGTTGACAGATATTTTGGAGGGGCACAGTTCAGTACATGACACTGATTTTTGCACGCTTATCCTCTTGTCTCCAGGAACCTTGCTGCTGAACTCTCTTTTTAATTCTGACAGTTTGTAGATTCTCTTGGATTTTCTATGTAGACTCTTATCCTCAAATAAAGACAGTTTTGTCCTTTCCAGTCGCAAGTTAAATGTCGTGTGGAGTTCAAACTTTATTCTATATCAAATTCGGAGCCACTGGAAGTTTTGTGTAGAGGAGTGACATTTAAATATTTTAGAAAAACCATTTTGGCAGCCTGGTGAAAGTATGATCAGAGTTAACCTAGGGACCAGTTAGGAGATGCTATTATTACGGTCACAGGATATTGCAAGTCTGGCCTTGAGGGGTGGCAGAAAGAAAGGAAGGGTGGAGATAAATATAAGAGATATTTTAGAATTAGGAGCAAAGGGACCTGGTGAATGAGTAAATGTGGGAGGTAAGGCTCATGGAGTCAGCCTTGGTAGCTAGGTTTCTGCTTGTATAACTGCATAGCACTCGCAGGAGGAGAAGCAGGTTTAGTAGCAGGTTTTCAACAAGGCTAAAAAAAAACTCATTGTCAAGTCGATTCCGACTCATAGCAACCCTAAATAGGACAGAGTAGAACTGCCCCATAGGATTTCCAAGGAGCAGCTGGTGGATTCAAACTGCTGACCTTTTGGTTAGCAGCCAAGCTCTTAACCACTGAGCCACCAGGGCTCCTCAACAAGGCTGGAGATAAATGTTTGGGGCTTATCTGTATAGATAATCACTCTCACCCTTTATCCTTCTGAAATCTCCATATAGATAAGCATCAACCTGATACAGAGCTTCCAGTGACTAAGAGATTAGAGGATGAGCTTGATGTCTTGGCTGTGGATATCCTTCAGGAAGAAACTCCATCTATTTTAGACCAAAATGCAAGCTTCAAAGATGAGACATCAGCGTTGGCCAGAACAAGAGTGGTGAAGAAGAAACCTGTGACTGTGAAGGCGCCTTGTAGGAAGAAAGATGCTCTGGCACCTGCAAGACTGCAGCAAGTATGAAATCACTTCTTTCTTTTGCCCATTCACATTAATCTGAAGTTGTCCAAGGTCACACGAGCTAGTAAGTGGTGGAGCCAGGATTGGAGTTCTTGGGTGGTAAGGTAACAGAGCCCTGAGTCCAACTATCTAAGCTTAGCTGACTCCAGGTTGGTTTTCTTTTTTAACAAAAAAAGAAGGGCAATTTTTAGTATTGTTACTAACCAAAAACCAAACCCATTGCCTTCGAGTCGATTCCAACTCATAGCAACCCTATAGGACAGAGTAGAGCTCCCTCATGCAGTTCCAAGGAACGCCTGAACTGCTAACCTCTTGATTAGCAGCTGTAGCTCTTAACCCCGACGCCACCGGGGTTTTCAGTATTGTTACTAGGACTGGGCATTCTGTTTTGTCCTGGCTCAGTAAGATTCTAGTTTGATACCAAGGTCCTGAAAGTGAGCAGATTATTTTAAAACTCAGTTTTTTGTTTGTTTTTGTTTTCCATTTCTGATTAGAAGTGTAGGATTTGAGACTTGGTTACTGCTAAAGATAAATAAAGATAACTAATAATACTCAACATTAAAAGGCATTCTAGGGGTGAGTACTTTCTAATACGGCTTTGGGAGCTAGCTGGGTAGTTAGAACTTGCTTTGAAACTTGGTGATATTTTAAACTTGTATTTAAAACTCCCTTAAAGCCCTGTCAGCAGAGAACTAGACAGAAGACATATCCTAGTCTGAATACCCCTTATTGTCATTAATGCATTTGATGGTTCTGTAACAAACCCGTATATTGTCAGGTGGCCCCAGGAAAAGGCTGTTCAGCAGTAATTACCAGTTACTGACAAATCATGGATTAGGATCAAGTCTCTACTCCTTTCCAACCAAACTAGTATGAGGCTAATTGGGAAGTCAGGACTGAACCTGTAGGAATTCAACATGGTGCCCTTCTCTAGAGGCAGAGCCTCATTCTCTAGTGTGTTTTTAAATAGCCTGCTTCATTCTGTGAGATGGCATATGCTTTTTCCCTTCACTGTTACCACACTCCCCCTGTATTAGCCCATTTAATCTTCCAGAAACATAGAAGAAGTGATTATCTCCATTTTACAGATGAGAAACCTAAAGCTCTGAAAGATTAAGTATTTTTTGGGAGGGGGCAGATTTATTTGTTTTTATTGTGGTAAGGTATATACCGACATAAAAATTGCGATGTTAATCATTTTCAAGTGTACAATCCCAGTGACATTAATATCACCATTTGTTTCTAAAACTTCATCACCCAAAACAGACACTGTAACCATTGAGCAATAACTCCCCATTTCCCCCTCCCCCCCCCGCCATGGTAACCACTAGCCTACTTTCTGTCTATGCATTTGTCTGTTCTAGATAATTTCATATAAATAGGATCATACAATATTTGTCCTTTTGTGTCTGACTTATTTCACTCAGCACAGTGTTTTCAAAGGTTATCATTTGTAGCATGTATCAGGACTTCATTTCTCTTTATGGCTGAATAATATTCCATTGTACGTATATATGACACTTGGTTTATCCATTCATCTGTTGATGGACACTTGAGTTGTTTTCACCTTTTGGCTATTGTGAATACTGCTGCGGTGAACATGGTATACAAGTATCTGTTTGAATCCCTGCTTTTAATTGTTTTGGATATATAACTAGGAGTGGAATTGCTACATCGTATGGTAATTCTATGTTTAACTTTTTGAGGACCTGCCAAACTGTCTTCCACGGCAGGTACACCATTTTACATTCCCAGCAGCAGTGGATGAGGGTTCCAATTTCTCCAGATTCTCACCAACACTTGTTATTTTCTGTTTTTTTTTTTTTTTATGATAGCCATCCTAGTAGGTATAAAGTGGTATCTCGTTGTGATTTTTATTTGCATTTTTGTAATGACTAATAACATTAAACGTTTTTTCATGTGCTTATTGGTCATTTGTATATCTTCTTTGGAGAAATGTCTGTTCAAGTCTTTTGCCCATTGCTTGATTAATTTGTATGTCTTTTCGTTGTTTAGTCATAGTAGTTCTTTATATATTGTAGATATTAAACAAGACTAAGTATGTATTTTAACCAAGAATGTTTTACAGTTTATCTCTAAACAATATGGATTAACTTTATTTTTACTTAATTAGAAATGGATACAGATGAATATAAATATATAAAAATGACAGAGCCAGGGCTGTAATTCTACGTCCCTGTTCCCTCCTCTCCACCACTAGGGTGTTTCAGTGTTGCATATACCCTACCCCAAAAACTTCCACCATAATGCTTTCGAGTCCAGTTTTTGCAGAATCGGATGTGTGAATGTGTAGTGACACTTGGACCTTCAGTGCACCAAAGATTGAAACTAGAGTGTCTTGATATTCACTTGGCCTCATAATTTATACTTTTCACTTACAGGGACTCCATAGAGCTGAAAGATGTAGACCAACTCAACCTCACATCAAAAGCAGGTTGCACCAGACAACAGTCTCATCCAGATTAAAAATGAACCAACAGCCTGTGAAAGACCAAAGGGCTCCTTGGATACCTCCAAATCCCACATCCCCACCAGCATCTCCTAAATGGTATATAAAAATTCAGGGAACCATGTGGATCTGTGGTTTTATTTTTACTCACAGATCAAAGGTTTCTTAGAGCTTAGAGCAAATAAAACAGCTGTCTTAGTTCGCATTAAGAAGATAAGCTTATTTGAGTGAATGAGAGATGAGAAGTTTTTGCCCAGAAGCCTTTTGGTTCCTTTTTCCCACCTGCCTATGGCTTGAGTTCCTCCCACCACCACTCCATCACCCTGTGGATACGTGTCGTATGGAGGATCGTGGGCTTCTCGTCACTTGTCTGGTTTCACAATAGACTCTGGTTACTTGAGGCCAGAGACTATGCCCTTTCTTATATCTGTATGTCCCATGCCTGACTCAGTGCCTGGCACTTAGTAGGCGTTCAGTAAATCTTTGCTGAGTGAATAAATATTTAAAAATAATTCCAGTTCCAGGACAAGATCATTATGTATTATGAAACCATACAGATCTCATAGAAACTGTCCTGACTGCAGGGACATTACCATCTTGTCACCCTTGTTCATGGCACACAGAGAATGAGGAGCCGCCATTCCAAAGGGCTAGAGAGGAGGTACTGTCCTCTAGGGGAGGCAGGGTTCAGTTAGTTAGGTGGAATAATCTTTGGGGAATTGGTTGAAGGTTAAGGGGTGCTTGTTTGCCATGGGACAGTAGTTCTTGGAAGCACAGTGGAAAGGACTGGGAGGTCAGACAGTAGAAGGAAGGAAGCAAGAAGCGGTAATGTGGGGAGGAGAATGAATGAGAGGGTCAGTGACTCCATGAGTCTGCCTCTTGGAGGCCATCAGTGAGATGCCTGGTGGAATGGACTCTCCTTAAGAATCTGAATGATTCTGAATACGTGGCTGTGTTTATCCATCAACCCCCATTTCAAAGTTGAAGAAACAGTGTTTAGGGAATTTCATGTCTTGTTCACGTAGCAGGGCTGGACCTAAAATCAGGGCTTTTGATTTTATAATGTGCCTTTTAGTTTTTATTCCTCTGCTCAGATTTCTGTTTTTATATGAGCATTAATACAGAGATGTGAATACAGTTGATGAGTCCATAAATAACATCAGTTGGTTGAAGTTTATGCTACAAAGCAGATACACAGTGGGATGTCTTCTAGAGTACATGTGTGAGGGATGGGGGAGGGGAGCGGATAAGGCTTCCAGGCTCATAGTGCTGTAACTGGATTTAAAAAGATACAGAGTTGCTTTGTAATAAGGAATGTAATTAGTGACCCAAATTTATAACAGGGTTTCCTCGAAGTTCACCTATTATTCTGTAACTGACAGTTGGCTTTTCTTTTAAGATAGCGTTTGCTTCTCTGAAGCAAAGGGAAGCTGAACCTGAATCCTGGCACCTCTCAGTCTTCTTCACATTCAGCTTCCGATTTAGGGTCCCATGCTGTAGATCACCGTTAATGTGATGCTCTTGTCTTCTCTGAGCTGACACCTTTGGAGGAGTCATTGGACATGGGGCAAGTGATAACAGATACACTTTTCTATTTTTTTCCAGTGCTGCGTGGACAAAGGTAAAACGTAGCCCCAGGGAGGCCACAAAAGAACAGTCTCTCCAGCAAGAAGATACTCAGGAGGGCAGTCACTCGCGAGGTGCCATTGAGCACGAAGCAGCCAGGTCTGTGCTGGCATTTCAAATCTTTGAAGGTTAGAGGACTCCTTTTAGTAGAATCTGTAGGGTCACTATGAGTTGGAATCAACTTGACAGCAATGAATTTTTAGTAGAATCTGAAGTAAGCCCTATCTTCTCTTTCTTGTGTATAAAGTTGATTATTTAAACTGTAGATTACCAAACTTTTCTGTCAGACTTATACAGCTTACATTGAGCCCCTCTTTTATTCCTGATTTCATTCATTTAAAAATTATATGGATATTGGTTGTATATCATTTGCTTGTTTTGTACCTGGCAGTTTTAAGCTCTGTAGAGACTATAAAAGAGGGCAAATGAGACACAACCCCAGCTCCTGCTTATTCACAGTCAGTAGAGAAGATAAGATGCGTAACTAATTATAATTTAAGATAGAATATGGCATGTACCCTGTCTTAGTATCTAGTGCTGTTGTAACAGAAATACCACAAGTAGATGGCTTTAACAAACAAGTTTATTCTCTCACAATCGAGGAAGCTAGAAGTCTGAATTCAGGGTGCCAGCTCCAGGGGAAGGCTTTCTTTGTCAGTTCTAGGGGAAGGTCCTTGTCATCAGTCTTCCCCAGGCTCTAGGAGTTTCTCAGTGCAGGGAACCTGCCTCTTCATTTTTGGTGGTAGGAGGTCCCTGTCCTCTCTGCTGGATTCTCTCTTTCATATCTCAAAAGAGATTATTGACTCAAGAAACAACCTAATCCTGTAGATTGAGTCCTTTCTCATTAACATAACTGCTTCTAATCCTGCCTCATTAACATCATAGAGGTTAAGATTTACAACACATAGGATAATCACATCAGATCACAAAATAGTGGACAGCCACACAATACCCGGAATCATGGCTTAGCGAAGTTGATACACATTTTGCGGGGAGGGAGCACATTCAATCCATAGTATACCCTAAGAACTAAAGAGTTAAGAACGCAGAGAGCTTAGAAGAGGGAGAGGTTACTTCTTGCGCTGGAGATCTGAGAAGGCTTCATGGAGGGAGGTGGAAATTGAACAAGGGGACTTAGATTTAAATATGGTGATGAGGTTAGAACATTCTTGGGAAGAGAATGGTGAAAATAAGGTGCAGATCTGTGAATTACGTACAGAAAGTAAACAGTAGCTTCATTTGATTCAAGCGTAGGGTAAGTCAACGGTAAGGTTGGAAGGGTAGACTGAGGGCAAGACAGGGTGGGCTTAGGAATTTGGACTGTCTGCTGAGGGCTCTCCCTGCCTTTGGAGGTTTGTGAATTCTGGCACCACAGGATCAGGATATGCCAAGGGAACATGAATCTGATGGGTATGGGTAGGGTGGGCTGGAGTGTAGACTCAAGGGAAGGAAGCCAGTTAGGCTATTTTAAAAATATGAATTCCTTTAAGGACCTAAATTAGAGCTGTGGGGCACAGCATGAATGATCAGAGGGGAAGAGTAGAGAAGGGGGCAGGGGGCAGGGAGAGAGAAGAAAGGAGTGGAAGATACAGATAGGCTACAGAGTCCCGGATCATCCTATATGCTTTCATTCCTTCATCCTTCCATTCAGCAGACAGCACTCCTGTGGGCCAGCACTGTCCCTGATGCTGGAGCAATTCAAAGATGAGTAAGACATGTCTTGTTCTTGAGGCATAAACAGTCCCAATAGAATTGGAGAATGCTGTAATGGAGATAGATATGAAGTGTCTAACTCTGTGGAGGAACTGAGGAAGACTTCTCAGGGATGACATTAGGCTGTATAATCAATAGAACATGGCAACAAATTGGACATGAGAGACAAGGGAGAAAAGAATCCAAAGAGGATTTTGAGCACCTCCCCCCCCGCCCCGTCTTCCTTTGGTTGCTATTTGGGATTGTTAAGAAAAGGACAGTTTCTCAGACTGTCCTTTCATAGAGGCAGCTGTCTAGGCACCACACACAGACCAGTGTGAGGGCCGAGTCCTGCGAGAGGGGGAGAAAGCAAGTGTCCCAAGCCAGCTGGAAGTGAGGCAGATGTGGCCACCAGCCCACTGAGGGTCAGTGCGCCATCCCTTGAAGAATGGTAAGTGTTGAGTGATAGGATGGGGACACTGGGTGAGGCAGGCTCCCCATGTCTGTCCACGGCTGCTGCAGCAGTTCTAGGCTTGCCCAGGGTGCGGTGGCTGACAGCCCTCTGGTGGTGGTGGCCCTTGAGGCTCCAGGAGAAATCTAGTGTGCTTCTTGACTGGCAGCCACAGACAGCTTCTCTGCAGGCTTATCTGGGAACCCTGAAGGCCACCCCCTCTTTCCCCTCAAAGTCTTGAGTACTTACCTTTTGCAAAGTGAAGAGATTTTCAGCTAGACAGCGTTTTCTGTGCCTCTTGTAATCTTCCCCTGCATTGGTGCGCTTCATTTGTGTGACTGAAATTGTTGTTCAGTTGCCAGAAAGTGAAATGAACGTGGACCGTTAAACAATTTGAGAATAGTCACGTATCCTAAACTAAAAGTCAAAGCCCTTTTGTATACAGTAAAGTTGTTCAGAGTTAATGTTTTCCCTCTTGTTTGTATTTGCCCTTATTATATATCTACAGGACTCTCCTGGGAATCCATTTCTTTGTCTAAACCTGAAGATACAGCAAGGGCTTCATTCACAGGGGAAGAAGAGATCCCAAGTACAGTGGGGGCTAGTTTTCTTGAGAACATTCGTAGGCAGTTTCTTGTTGCTCTGTATGCTAGCTAGGAGTGGTTTTGCACATAGATGTCTTTTTACTTAGATATTGCATGGAGAGCATCAGGGGATACACAGAGGTCATGCTACCTACTGAGTCCTTCATGGAGCTGCAGTTGGGGCCCTGGAGATCCTGCCTCCTGGTCTGCTTCTGTGGTAAGGATACTCTGCAGCTGTGAGGTCGCATTGATTGGACTCTTTCTTTTACTGTCTGCTAGGCTCGCTTGGCTTGATGCTGAAACCTCCAAAAGATTGAAGGAACTAGAAGAATTAAAAACCAAAGAAATGGACAAAATACAAAAACGGAGGTAAATACAGGCAGTCCCTGAATTACGAACGCGTTCCATTCCTAAGTCTCTCTTTAAGTCACATTTGTACGAAAGTCGGAACAGTTAGGTACGATTCGTATCTAACATCAGTTAGTCAAATGTTTGTCTTAGTATATAGTAGAGAGTGTGACTTTCTATGCATAAAAAACATTAAAGAAACACTTCTAGAAACACTAAAATATCTTTAACATAATAATATAGCAATAATAATGTTTTGATGGGTGTCACAGAGTAGCTCCATTTGTTATTATGAACTACTGTATGTACCTCAGATTTTCAATACAATAGGCATTGTGGGGTTTCGTTCGTTACTGGGGGTTGTACCAAGTTGGACAATCGTAACTGGGACCGCCTATATCTGTTTCCAAGGTAGAAAAAGGTAGGCAGGCCTCTTCCAGATCAGCTGGTTGTTTTAGCAGCTAATCCAGATTGTGCAGGTCTAGCCGTGCTTCTTATGACTGTTGACTGTCTGCCTGCTTAAAAGACTGAAGTCACCTAAGATGCCTGCAGTAGAGCCAAGGCAGCTCTGACCCTCCATCCATTTCTCTCGTGATGAAACCCTGCCAGCTCTGGGGGTGATACAGTGTGACTTTTTGTACTGTTTGCCAGGCTCAATTGGCTTGATGCTGAAACTTCCAGAAGAACAAAGGAACTGAATGAACTCAAATCTGAAGAAATGGATAGACTCCAAAAATTGAGGTATGTGTTTGCTTCTGAGGAAGAATAGGGGATGCTTGCCTATTCTAATGGATCTAAGAAGTTTTAACAGCTAATCTGAACCGTTCATCACTACATGAATGAGTGGATTAATTGACTGAATAAATGAATACCTGCATGTCTGTATATCTGTTGTATAGTGTTTTTGCTAGGATATGTTTTTGAATGTGGAGTTTGAAGGAGAACCAAAAAAAATCTACAATTTTGGGGAAGTTCCATCTGAAACATCAGAGTCTTGTATCTGTTTATTTGTGCTGCCCTCAAAGGTATTTTTCTCCGGCCAGATGCCAGCCTTCTGAGGGTAGAGGGTTGATGTGATGTGTAAGTTTTGCTCGTATAATTGAACTTCTGCTTCACACGTTAACTTGAAGGCAATCTAAGGTTTTCTAATGAGATTGCCTTTTTCAGTTCACTCCCTGAGTGTTACTACCTAGCTACAGGCGTAAAGAAGTTTGTTAAAAGATGTAATTGACACTGCTGCTGCAGCAGTTGCTGAAATTGGCTCATTTCTTCAGCTCTAATAATAATTCACTCGAAGTCAGGTTCACAGAGCACTCGCTGAAACAGGTGTGTGTCTGTCACCAATCAGGATAGACTGTTCAGTCTAGGTTAGAAGGGCTGTGCTTGTGTCATTAGAGTGCCAAGGTGTTTTGCCTATAGTTAACATACAATCACAGAATCTTGGGGCCGGAAGGATCTTTTCCCTCTTGTGATGCTCCCCGCCCCTCTGTACTGACTCCACAAAGCATCCATCATATTCACGCACTCGCCCAGTGATAGGGTGGCCACCGCCCCCTGAGGCAGCCCATTCCATAGTCATCTCTAGCTATTAGAATGTACGACCTTGAATTACGACCTTGAATTACGCTGAAATCTGATTCCTTGTAACTCCTATCCACTCGCCTTGAGGCCATATAGCAAAAACTTAGTCCTTTCTTCCCCATTTATCCCTTTATTTTTTTTATTTAAAAAATTATACATGTAGGAGAGCATACTAAATATACACGTACTGGTCAAAATGAACACCCGTGCACCACCACAGCCAGCCAAGAAATAGGTTATGAACTGGTCTTTAGAAGTTCCCTGAGTGCATCTCTCCAGTTGCACCCCCTCTCTGCTCCCCTAGAGGAAACCACTGTCCTGATTCCTGTATTAATCTTTCATTGCCCTTCTTCATAGCTCTGCCACCTGTGTGTTTATTCCTAATAATAGGTTGTTTAATTCTGAACACTGAGAAGCAAGCTTGAACCTAGCTACACAAAGAAAGGGCAGTATTGCTGGTATTAGATGAAAACTCCCAGAGGGAAATAGGCAGAACAGAGTCTGGATCATAATCTGACTTGAGCTCCCCTGAGAGCTTTTGGCAGCCCCTTCCTAAGAAGTCGATGGGCAAGGTCATGAGCAAATCCATAGAAATTTAGGGCTACTACATTTGGGGCTTCTCAAGGGCCTGTAAGGAGCCCTGGTAGCACAATGGTTAAACGCTTGGCTGCTAACCAAAAGGTTGGTGGTTCCAACCCACTCAGAGGCTCCATGGGAGAAAAGACCTTACAGGCTGCTCCTGTAAAGATTACAGCCTAGGAAACCCTGTAGGGCACTTCTACTCTGTCATATAGGGTCACTGTGAGTCGTAACTGACTCGATAGCACACAGCAACAACAGAGGGGCTGTAAGTGAACCAGGTACCCTGGACTTCTAGAAGGAACTTGGTCGGGGGGTGTGGGCTGCCTTGTAGTGTTCTAAGCTTTCTCCATCCAGCTTTTGTGCAGCCCCTTTCTGGTTTCTGTTACCATAGAGTAGTTTTGCCTGTTCTTGGACTTCATATAAATAGAGTGGTCAGTATCTATTTCTCTGTGTCTGGTTTTTTTGCTCATCAAAATATTTATGAGATTCATCCATGCTGTGCATATATCAAAATAGTTCATTCCATTTTATTACTGAGTGGTCTTCCATTGTATGAATAGCACACACTCTGTCAATTTGCCTGCGAGTGAACATTTGGGTTGTTTCCAGTTTTCAGTTAGTATGAATTAAAATTGCTGTGAACATTCTGGCACACATCTTTTTGTAGAAATATACTTTCATTTATCTTGGGTAAGGAGTAGAATTTTTGGGTTATAGGATAAGTAAATGTTTAACTTTTTAAAACCTGCCATACAAGTTTTCCAAAGTAGCTGGACCATTTCATGCTCCCATCCACGATGGGGGGGAGTTCCTTTCTAGTTGTTCCACACCCTACCAGTCTTTTTTTTTAACCATTCTGGTGAAGGCCTTGTGGTATCTCATTGTGGTGTTAATTTGCATTTCTTTGAAGACTAAGAGGTGAGCACCTTTACTAGTGCTTATGAGGTGTCTGTTCCAGTCTTTTGCCCATTTTTTATTGGGCTATTTTGGTTTTTTTTTATTATTGACTTGTAAGAGTTCTGTATTTTCTGGATATGAGTGCCTTGTCAGATATATACAGCAAATACTTTCTCCCACTACTGTTGCTTGCCTGGGTATCTTCTTAACGGGGTCTTTGATGACTAGAAGTTTTAAATTTTGATTAAGACCAGTTTTTCAATTTTTTGATTTACTGTTAGGTTTTTGTGTGTGTGTGAACTAAGAAATCATTGCCTATGCTAAGGTCTCAGAGATACTCATTTTTGTTTTCTTCCAAATGTGTTATAGTTTTAGCTTTTATTTTTAGGTCTGTGATCCATTTTGAATTACTTTTTGTGTATGGGATGAGATATACTTGTCAAGGTTCATTTTTTACCGTGTGTATATCTGGTTATTCCAGCACCATCTGATGAAAGGATTATTGAAATTGAGCTTTACTCTAGGGTCAGTTGGGTGGACTGTTTGTTAAGGACCCTAATGTAGGTCTTTAGGTCTTTCCTTTGGGGCTGGTCAGATTGCCCAGAGAAGGGTCTTTAATCTCCTGCCTGGAGGAGGGTAAGAACCTGGATGCCATTGTTCCAGGAACTGAGTTGAGGAGGAGCATTGATAAGGCTCACGGTTCAGCATTCAGCATGCATATATGTATCCTACAGCCTCAGCTGTGATTGTTGTCCCCTAGGCGAGAGACCCTCTGTTCTGCCCTCTCCAGAGAAGAAGCAACCAAACTTCGCTCAGAGGTGGAGAGAGACTATTGCCTAATTGCATGAAGTAGGGAAAGGGATCTAGGGACCTAATGTCTCAAACATCATTTGACACTTGTCTTCCGTATTTAAGCCCCCCCTTCCCAGCTTATACCCAGGTCTAGAGGTACTGGTGCTGCCAGTCCTGGCCCTATTGAGGCTGGCAGTACACACTGTTGGTTCTTATTTTATTCGTTGTTGTTGTGTGCCGTCAGATCGATTCTGACTCATAGTAACTCTATACTTTTTCTCAATACTGGCCTGGAGTTCAGCTCTCTCAGGTCAGCTGCGTTAGTTAACATTGTTATCCTTCTGTTTTCCAGCACCAGTTGTTGTTGTTTTTTTTTCTCCATGTCCTAATGGATTTGTGCCTAAAAAAACAAAATCTCAAATATTGTTTTAGTGGAGTTTTGGGAGAGAGCAAAATTAGTTTCATTTGTTAGATCTGTCTACCTAACCCAGAGGTCCTCTCTTTAGTTATTTAAAGGCAGCCGTCATTGTTTTAAAGTGTACCCAGAACCAAACATCTTCTTCAGATGTTATCCGAACGCTTGTACTCAAGCTATGGTCTAGAACCAGCTCCTCATTTTTATCGGTGAGGAAACAGGAACAGAAAGTTGAGTGACTTATGTAAAAGTACGAGCTAGTCTGACAGTGTTTGCAAAGAAAAAGGGCAGAAAGCCAAGATCCGCACATGGCATTTGTTTTCATGAAGACAACATCTCCTAGGAGCATGTTGGAAGCACAGAATCTCAGACCTCACCCAGCCCAACTGAATCAGAATCTGCATTTTAGCAGGATTCTGAGATGATGTGTGTCATCATTAAATTTGGAAAAGCACTGTGGTTTTTATAATTATTTGATTTCCCTTCACCTGGAGTGGTAAATAAATATTATTTATTTTTCTCCATAATATTTACCACTCCAGGTGATTTTCTTGCTTTTGGTTTTAATTTTCAATTTTATTTCTAAATAGTGATTCTGCTACGCAGCTAGCGGACAAGGTAGAGCATGCAGTCCTGGAGCGTCTGAAGCCTCTCCTGGCCAAGGCCCAGGTAATCTAGATCATCTTGTTTGCTTGCCTTTGGGGAGTTCTAGAATAAAAAGAGTTGTATAGAAGTTACTCTGATCCTTTGTTGGTCTAAGTGTCTCCTTGCCGGCTGTAAGCTGTAGTGCTGATCTGTGGTACAGAGTATGGGTGGGATGCTGCTGGGACCCCTTTTGGACACCCCCAAACAACCACACACTGTGGGTGTGTAGTCCATTGTGGGTAAAGGATAGAGATAAGGGAAAGAGAGAGAAAGTCCCACTGTTGAGAAATGGGAGGTTTTAGTTTGGGCAAAGAGTTTAGATTACAATTTCCATTCCTAATCGAATAGATCTGTTGATGTTAGTTTTCAGTTAACTGCTTTCATTCTGATGTTGTGCTGTTTCACCTCAGTGGTTTGGAGTGATTGGCTCCATCTCCAAAGGAGAGAGACGTTAGGGCAGCTTCTGTGCACAAACCAGTACTTTGTGAAGACAGAATTACATGTGGCATCTCCACCAGAGTGTGCCATCCTCCTGTAAGCAGGAAGCTGAATTGGATGGCCAGACCCTGCAGATCACCCTGTAGATAGAAACAGTCTTGTTTGTGTAAATAGATGGGGGCCTCAGAAGAATATTATAGTCTTAAATGGAAACAGTGACGTTCTGGGTCCCTGCACAGGTCACTGAACTTCTGTGTTTCTAGTTTAAGAACTGTTAAATTATTACCTGAGTCCATGGGAACCTCAGGAGTATAGAACTGAGCGGGCTTGCAGAGATTAAACATGACAACCTCCTCATTTTAATCGGTGAGGAAACGGGAATGGGAGGTTGAGTGACTTGTGTAAAAGCACAAGCTATTCTGACAGTGTTTACAAAGAAAAAGGGCAGAAAGCCAAGATTCACACATGGCATTTGTTTTCATGAAGACAAAGTACTTTGAATTGCTGCAAAAAGCCTCATGTAGCTAATGCTGATGAACAGTTCTACACTGAAGTTATTCTGGTAACGTAATTCATTTGAACTCATATGGGTTTAGTTTTTACAACCCATTAATGTATTTGTCTGTCTTAACAGAGAGTCAATTCTTCTCTGGATGCAAATAGTCATTTGAAAGATCGTCCATCAGTAAACACAGTGGCAACCCAGCCTGCGGAGGAGGTGTGTGTGTGCGGTGTTGATATTCTGGACAGACACTGGTATTATTACATGCTGCATCTTCAGCTGTAAGGAAGATGATATGCAGATTATTTTGCGAACACTAGATTTTCCTACTCAAGAAGGGTGGAAATTATTTTTCATATTTGGCCGCATTGCAGTGTATAGTTAGTGTTATGACTTAAGAGCAGCCTGGCAAACAGCTCACAGAAATCTCAAGAGCCCCAGTTGTTTGTCAGTGGCTCTTTTCTCTCTCCTTTATTTATCCTTTGAGACAGAATGTGGTTGCACTGAGTGGTCCTGCATGTAAATGGCTAGCGGCAAAGGAAGGCAGCCCTCATTTCTCTTTGTTCAGCCTAGTTTCATTCATTACTGACCTAATTTCCTTTATACTTAGGGCCCAGTATTTCTTGTTAGGCAAGGAAGGTTCAAGTGCCAAATATGTGACCGATATTTGGCCTAGCAGAGAGAAGAGGGAAAATGAAAGCAGTTGAGAAAAATAAAAATATGTCCACCCTTGTGTTCTTCCTCTGGAGGACTTGCTTTCATATTTGTGGGCATGTTCCTAGCCTGCCTAGGCTTTGGGCTGGGGAGTAGAAAGTACAAGTTGCAGCCCTTTGATCTTCGAGGTTAGAAAGACCATTAATTGTTTTACCTGCTCCAAAGCCTTAGGGCAGAGCAAGTACAAAGATTTCAGAGTTAGAAGGAAGTTGGAATGAAGCTCCACCAGCCCAGTGGCTTAGGGAAAGAAAGTAGATTTCAAGAATTTATCCTGATTCTAATTATTAAGCAGTACTTCAGCTGCAGCGGAGCCCTGGTGACGCAGTGGTTAAGAGCTACGGCTGCTGATCAACAGGTCACAGTTCAAATCCACCAGCTGCTCCTTGGAAACCCTCTGGGGCAGTTCTGCTCTGTCCTGTAGGGTCGCTATGAGTCGGAATCGACTCGATGGCAACAGGTTTTTTTTTTTTTTTGTTGTTGTTGTTAGCTGAAGCATATTTTCATGATCTTTGTGATTGTGATTTTATTGTACCAGTATTGGTGACAAAATCTCATGTGAGGTGAGGCTCCTAAGCCTGGGAAGCCGAAAGCCAACGTCTGGCCCTTACAGATTTCGACTGTGCTGTGGCTCAGTGTTGTGTGCAGCATAGCACAGAAAAATGATACTTTTCCCCTCCAGTGAAGTAATGAGACCACCATCTAACTTTGGGAGGCAATTCCGTACTACGTTTTAATATGAAACAAAAATGAGGTGATTATAAATGCTGTCAGTAAAATACACGTTGTTGAATATTACTAGGTGTGATCAGCTTTTTATATAAGAATTATTCTATAGGTATCAAACAGTCTTTAATATAATTTAAAGTAACTCTGCCGAGTATTTAGAATTCCGGGCTGCTGCTATAATACGGGAATCATTGCAAAGGGTTTCCCAGACAGCACCATCAAAAGTCAGTGTTTATAAACAACTAAAACAAACAAACAAACTCATAGAAGTTGGCTTCTGATAAAGATGAAGTGGAATTTTTTTTTTTTTTTTTTTCACAATGGTAACATAAAAGAGCTGTGGGACCTGGAACACAAATGCTCAGATTTCTCATCTGTAAAATGGAGGAGACGTTTGCCGCACTTTACGAGTAAAATACAACTCTCATTACCTTTGATGGACAAGATAATCTGAAATCAGGAAAAAGCTCTTGCAAGGGTACCATTAGAACATGTTTTTCTATTGCTGCTGCTATTGTCATTAAGTAAACCTGTACATGAAGTATATTTTCCAAAATGTGTGAGTTTCTTAAAATTAAAAGTTACATATGCACATGGCCAAAAATTTCAGAAAAAGTACAATATGGAAAGTTAACCCTCCCCACAAGTGGATACCATACACTACCCTGTACCCTGCTTTCTTCTTCGTATTTTGATGATCTTTCCGTCTCAGCATGTTGTTGTTGGTAGTTGCCGTCAGGTCAGTTCTGACTCCTGACAGCCCCATGTGTGCAGAATACACCTACTCCATAGGGTTTTCAAGGCTGTGACCTTTCGGAAGCAGATCACCAAGGCATCTCTGGGTGGGTTTGGACTACCAACTTTTCTGCTAGTAGTTGAGCACTGAACTGTATCTGCCACCTAGGGACTCCTGTTAGCACATTTGAAAAAAAATCTGTTGCTGTTGAGTTGATTCCAACTCATAGCGACCCTATAGGACAGGGTAGAGCTGCTCTATAGGGTTTTCAAGGAGCAGCTGGTGGATTTGAACTGCCGACTTTTTGGTTAGCAGCCTGAGCTCTTAACCACTGTGCCACCAGGGCTCCGACCTTCCTTATTCTTTTTTAATGGCACATAGTATTCTTGGCATTCCATTCTGTGTAAGTGGAAGATATTACACACAAACCCTCTTAATGAACTAGATCTGTATTATTGGCTAAATTGTTTCTTGACAACTTAATTGTATTGGTTAGTGAACTGGTTTTGGTTTCTTTAACTTTGATTAAGGCTGAGCATTTTTTTCATATCTTTATTGGCCATTAATATATTTTTTTCTGTGAACTCTTAAAAGAATTTTAAAATTGCTGTAGTAGTAACCATTCATTGGCTCTCTTATTTCATGTCAGACACTGTGCCAAGTGTCCCAACATGTAGGCTCCTGTGTAATCCTTGCAACTCTTTAAGATTATTATTATTTCCATATTACAAATGAGAAGATTAAGGCCCAGAGAGATTAAGTAAACCTGCCCAAGGCTGCAGGTTAATCAGTGGGCAGAACCAAGATTTAATCCCAGAAATGTCTCATTCCAGAGCCTGATATGATCATTTCCCTAGCAGGCATTCTTTGCAAAAGCCTCTTTCAGAACAGATTAAGACATATATTAGAATCAAGAGAAATACAGTAGATGTGAAATGCTTTGTATACTGTAAGGTGCTTTGTGAATGTAAAGGATACAAGATGAAAAAAGGTTGGAAAAGCTTTCCCAGGTTATGAGTAGGAAGTCTCAAGCAAGGATAAAGAATCATGAATTGGTAATGTCATGAAAAGAAGTTTTTACAAAAACACTGAACCAGCAGAGAAACGTACTCTGGAGTATGTGGCGTGTAAAACGTTGGACATTCCCCTGAGTATTGCAAATGAAGATATTTGCTTTACCAACTGGCAAAACATGCAGTAATGATGATGATAATTTAACAGGACAGTGCTGATTTTGTAAGCACTTTCACATAGTGTCGAATCACTCGCTTCTTGAAGCAGCTGGTATTCCTAACTATCTTCCTTTTGTCCTGAGGAAACTGTTACTTGGATGTTTCTTAAGACTATGTAACAACACGAAATGGTGGTGAAGTGGGTAATATTACCATTTAAATGACTGTGATAGAAATTGTACTAATGTTATTGCTTTTAATATTTACTGACTTGGGAGAGGTTTGTTTTAGCATAGACGTGCTGCCAGTTGGATCACTGCGTGGTTGGTTTATTTTGATCAGCAGCAATCCGTAAATTCTTCTGTTTTCTTTGCACCATCCCCCTCCCTCGTTTTGTAGACTGCAGCTGTTGTTTCCGAATCCAGCAACATTCCCCTGCTGGATGATTTTTTGGAAGATACCGCTCACAAGCTCTGGGCTGTGACTCACTCTGAGATCTTGGAGGACGGCAAGGACACTCCAACTCTGGAGACCATGATGCGCCGAATGGAAGAAATGGAAGTAAGGCCTGGGGCTGTGTCCCTGGCTTGTGCTGGGGCTGGCCTCTGCTGAGCGTGGCTTCTCCTCGTGCTTCTATGGCTCAGTGCCTCAGAGTCACACAGACCTGGCTTTAAAGCCCAGCGCCTCTGCCAGCTAAGTGCCTGAACTTGGTAAAGTCACTGTTTTTAAGGAGAAAATGAAGTATATTCCCACTACCTGAAACATAACTCAGTAACTGGTAATTATTATTATCTCCCGATTTCCATTGATATGTAATCCAAAAAACACTGGACCAGGGCCTGGTCCCACATAGATGTTTTCATCAGTTAGCTAGTAAGTACCATTCAGTTGCCTCTTCTACCTTGTTAGAGTGCGAGTTTTTTTAAGTCACAGAGAATTTTACCTTCTTTAATATCTGTGATATTACTTTTAGAGTACTTCTCTCATTGAATCTTAGACTTCACATATCATCCAGTCCAACTCCTGGGTTGTTCAAAGGAAGAAACTGAGAACCAGTAAGGGAATAAGTGATCCCAGAAAAATTCCTGGCAGAATTAGATTGAGAATCCAGGTCTCCGGTCTCCGGACTCCCAGTTCAGCATTTTCTTTTTAACTGCACCATGATTGAAGTGCATTTCAGCCCTGCAGCTAAATAGAAACATAAGGAAGACAAATTTTTTGTTGGTTTTTGGAAATTTAAAGATGTGCGGTTTATTCTAGTCTTGTAACTGATTGCCCTTGCTTGGGGATAATTGTCTAGACCTACTATCCAAAAATGGCAGCCACAAGCCACCTGTGGCTATTTAAATATAAATTAATTAAAATGAAATAAAGTTTAAAGTTTAGTTCCTCAGTCACACTGTCCACATTTCTAGTGGTCAGTAGTTAGTTGTTACTATATTGTTACCATATCTGCCAGTTTGTTGTACGGTCGTGGCTTATGTGTTGCTATGATACTGGAAGCTATGCCACCAGTATTTCAAATACCAGCAGGGTTACCCATGGTGGACAGGTTTCGGTGAATCTTCCAGACTAAGACAGACTGGGAAGAAAGGCCTGGCAATCTGCTTCAAAAATTAGCCAATACAGACCCCATGGATCACAACAGAATATTGTCCAATATTAGTGCTGGAAAATGAACCCCCTGGGTTGGAAGGCAGTACACAATGGCAGCAACAATGGAGTCAAACATGCCAGTGATCATGAAGGTGGTGCAGGACTGGGCAACCTTTTGTTGATGTTACACATGGAGTCGCTGTGAGTTGGAGCTGACATGACAGCAACAACAATAACAACGTATTGGACAGGAAAGATACAGAACATTTCTGTCATTGCAGAAAGTTCCAGTGGACAGTGCAGGTCTAGATTACAGCTATGTTAGTTGCTTCATTGTATTTTAGACTTCATCTCATGAACTGATCACTTCCTGGCTTGGCAGGTGCCCATTTCTGTATCAGTTCTAGAAGAGGGAGCGTGTCTGTATTAAAATACAGGCTCTCCCCAGGTTACGATTCATGTACAACCTATAGTTACAAAACAACCCCCAGAAAGCCTGTTATTTTAAAAATTCGAGGTATATACAATGGTCCGTAATAACAAATGGGTGCTACTTGGTGATGCACATCAAAGCGTTATTATTATTACTGTGTTATTATTATGTCTGCAACTTACTCTGAAATGCATCCAAAAATAAGATGCATTGATGAGTGGAGAGAGAGGGAAACATATGTGACAAAGCAAACACAGCAAAATGTTAATTGTAGAATCTAGAAGGTGGGTATAAAGAAGTTTTAGTTATCTGTGAAGTGCTTAATGTTTTTTTGCGTAGAAAGGTTCACTGTATACTGTCCCATATACTAAGACAAACGTTTGAATAACTGACGTAGGATACGAACATACCTAACTGTTCTGACTTAGGTACAAATTCGACTTAAAAGACAGGCTTAGGAACGGAACTCGTTTGTAATCCCGGGACTGCCTGTATTCTGCTAAACTCTTACATCCTTACTAGTTCTGGTTTGTAATGAAACTCATTTTTTCTCATAAATTAAACTTTTTTTTTTTTTTTTTTAAAGAAATACCAGGAGACAGTTCGCCAAAGATATACTAAATTTGTATATGCTGATCCTCATTTTTGGATGCAGGAAGGAAAAAAAGGTGAATGTTTCTCCACTTCCCTCCAAAATTTTAGTACGAAAAATTTGGAACATACAGAAAGGTTGAAAAAATTATACAGTGAACAACCGTTTACCCACCTTCGAGTTTCGACAATTAACGTTTTGCTGTGTTTGCTTTGTCACATATGTTTCCTTCTCTCTCCACTCATCAATGCATCTTATTTTTGGATGCATTTCAGGGTAAGTTGCAGACATCACTACATTTCACCCCTAAACACTCCCACATGTGTATCAGGAACTAGAGTTTAATATATGCATATGGTTCTTTTTCTTTTGAGATAAAATTTATGTAGTAAAATGCACAAATCTTATCTGTGTCATATGATGGGTTCTGATAAATGGATACACCTTAATTACCCAAACCCCGTCAAGATACAGAACATACCATCACCTCAGAAAGTTCCCTCATGCCCCTCTCTAGTCAGTTGCCTGCCACCTAGGCAATCACCGTCCTGCTTTTTTTCCCCTATATATTAGCTTTGTCTGTTCTAGAATTCCGTATGAATGTAGTCATACAGTGTGTACTTTTTTGTCTAAGACCTCTTTCATTCAGCATAATGTTTTATAACATCTACGTTATATGCTGTGTTATAGCAACGTCTGTCTGTGTTGCTTGTTGTATTAGTTTCCTGTTGCTACTGCAGCAAATTATCACAAATTTAGTGGCTGAAAACAACACACATTTATTCTTTTGAACTTCTGAAGGTCAGAAGTCTGAAGTGAGTCTTAACAGAGCTAAAATCAAGGCGTTGGCAGGACTAGTTTTTTCTGGAGGCTGCCGAGGAGAGTTCGTTTCTTATCTCTTCCAGCTTCTAAGGCTGCTAGCACTCCTTGGCTTGTGGTTGCATTACTCAGACCTCTGCTTCTGTTGTCACATTGCCTTTTTCTATAGTCAAATCTCCCTCTGCCTGCCTCTTATAAGGACACTTGTGATTACATTTAGGGCCCACTGGATAATCCGGGATTATTTCCCCATCTCAGGATCCTTAACTTAGTCACGTCTGCTGCAAACTCCCTTTTGCTATGTAAGGTAACAGTCACAGGTTCCAGGGATTAAGATAAGGACATCTTGGGAGGCCATTATCAGCTTACCACACTTTTTATCAGTAGCTTATTCCTTTTTTTATTGCTGAGTAGTATTCCATTGTATGAATACACCACAGCTAGTGTATCCATTTGCCTGTGGATGTACATTTGGTTATTTCTAGCTTGGGGCTGTTATGAATAAATCTGCTATGAATATATTCACATGCGGACATATGTTTTTATTTCTCTTGAATAATACCTAAAAGTAGACTTGCCAGGTCACAGGTTAGGTGTTACGTTTAACTGTATAAAAAGCTGCCAAACTTTTTCCCAAAACGGCTGCACCATTTTACCACTACCATCAGCAGTGTGTAAGAGGCCCAGTTGCTTGACATCCTTGCCAGCATTTGGTGTTGTCAGTGTTTTTAATTGTAACCATTCTGGTGGAGGTATAATGGTATCTTATGGTGGTTTTAATTTAATTCTTTGATAACTAATGATGTTTAGAACCTTTTGAAGTGATTATTGGCCATGTGTATATCTTCCTTTGCAAAATGTTCAAATCTTTTGCCACTTTTTTAAACTGGGGTTGTTTGGCTTTTTATTTTTGAGTGGTAGTTTTTTATGCATTCTGGGTGCAAGCCCTTTGTGAGATATATATCAGCTTTATTGAGATATAATTCATATACCAGGAAGTTCACCCTTTTAAATTACACAGTTCAGTGGTTTTTAGTATATTCACAGAGTTGTGCGACCATCACATCACTACAATCTATTTCGAAACATTTTCATCTTCCCAAAAAGAAACCCTGTATCCATTAGCAGCCGCTCACCATTCCCCTGCCCCCCAGCCCTGGCAGCCACTAATCTACTCAGATACATGTTCTGCCAATATTTCCCCCTCTATGAGGCCCACCTATTTATTTTCTTAAAGATGTCTTTTTATGAGCAGACATTTTCTAAAGTCTAATTTATCAGTTTTTTCTTTTGTGGTTTTTGTTTTCGGTGATCTAAGAAACCTTTGCCTATCCCCAAGTTGAGAAGAGATTCTCCTGTTTTCTTCTAGAAGGTTTATGGTTTTAGCTTTTATGTTTAGGCCTGTGATCTGGTAGATGAATGTTTGCCTGTGGCTTAAGGTAGGGGTTGAGGTCTTTTTTTTTTTTTTTTTTTCCTAGTGGGTATCCATTTGTTCCAGCACCACTGTGTTGAAAAGACTTTCCTTTTTCTCTCCCACTTAAAAAAAAAATCATACATATGCATTTGGCTGTAGTTGCTAGGCTACTGCCACGATTTTGGCTGGGAAGTGTTACGCAAATTCGGTTTGACTCATGCTTATCAGTTACTACCTTACTCAATGAAAGGAAGAGAATAAAATGTGGTTAAACATTACCTCTAAAGGAATTTAAGTACTATGAATACTACAGTTACAAAGAGATGTAAAGGAAACGGTGGGTTTAGAAGGTTTACCACAGCAGCATACGTCATATATAATTATTTTAAAATGTAAGTCTGGAGTATCGTCTTCTAGAAAAAGTATTCTTCATATCAAATTTTGACAGAAAAATGAGGTATCTAAAGAATACTGACTTGTTCTTTTTATGTTTTCTGTAATTGTCAAGCACTGTTGTTTACTCTTATTGTTCTCTCTTCTCCCACCCCTACTCCAGTTTCCATTTTAATCTTCACATAAAAATCAAACCATTCCTCAAGGCCCACCTCATATGATCCTACTTGTGTGGTGCTTTTCCTTGATCCCTACTGGAACTGCTCCTTTCCTCCCTTTCTTGCTTATGATCTTCCATACTTTCTGGCATGTTCTCCTGTGTGTTAGAGTTATTTGTGAAGGTGCCTTATCTCCCTAGCTAAGCCACAGGTTCTTTGAGGCCGGAGAATGTCACGTTCAGTTCTGTGTCCCCCCACTGCCTGGCACGTACCTGGCACTGGGTGGGCTCTTCTAAGCATTGTTGAGTGAACCAGTGGACATTTTCGCATCTTTTTGGTATGCTTTCTTTTTCTAGAAAAGTTGAAGAGGAATGAGTTTAACTGATGGCTTGGCCACTGGCAACAAAGTTAGGTTATGTCACAGAAGAAGACAGGCTCCCAGAGGACTCAGTGTTCTTTTTTTTTTTTAAGCACAATTTAAATTATTAGTCACTATCTGTAGCTATGCATAGAGTCTAGCTGTGCATTTAAAAGGAGCTCTTTAGAACACTAAGAATGGAAATGAGTTTTTGGGTGTTTATAATTCCAGAATCATGAAATATAGTAAGAATCCTAGTTTTTCTGATGGTATGTTCAGTTGCATCACAAAACCAAATTTGAAATGATGTTTTGATTTTGCTGTTTCCAGTCTACATCTCTTATTTTCTCCTTCTGTGAACAACTGAGAATTGATTGTACTCGCAGTAATATTTTCACAAAGACTGGTTTACACATTAGTTCTGTTTGACAGTAGGAAATCATAAGCACGTAAGTGTGAGCGAGAGAAAGTTGTTTGACTTTTAGATGCTCTTTACCTAAGAAGAGAAGGACAAATTTTCCTCCTATACTTGAAATAAATTTAAAATTCTAGATAATCCAAAACTCAAAAGAGCTGTGAAGCCTGCAAGGTATAATTCATAAATTAATGTTTTGACTATCGTCATGCAGACTTTTCCAGCAACGCCTAGAGACAAATTAAATCAGCTTATCACGTGTTCTGGTGTGGGTACTTGTTTCCTTCTTTAGTATGCAAACCATTTAAAGGTTAAAAAACAAGCTCAGCTGCTTAAGACTCCTTGGGACTTTGCACAGACCTCTTCCAGGAGCTTCATAGCATGCAGTTATTTCTTAAATCTGATTCTTCATTGGTTTATTTACTTGTAACTTTTTAATTCAGCTTTTTATTTAAAACGAGAGCTTTTTGTTTTACCCCCCCTCATCGAACTGCTAGCTAAACCCATTATGCTTAAGAGAGATGCTTGCTAACTCACTCGGGGGTTATTGGCTACCAGGACAACCCTGGTTAATACATGCATGGACTTCTCTTTCTATGCGGTCATGTTATGCCTCTCCTTTTCTAGACCAAGAAGTCCCAGCAGTCAGTGAAAGGCCCCTGCCTCCTCATCCAATCAGGATCACAAAGACAGCAGCTCACAAAGACCCAGACGTGAACATTGTGTTAGAAAGGCCTTGGAATGGCAAGTAAGTGGTAACTAGACTGATTTTCTTGTAGTTGGTTGCCTTTGAAGTTTGACTTCCTTCAGCTCCCGCAAGACAGAAAATCCTTTAAGCAAGATCTTACCAAACTCCAGATACATTAGCTAGCTCAGTAAAATAGCATATTTATAAGATGGGCAGTGAGTATACTGCATCTTAAGCCTTTCAGTATTTTATAACATTCCGTTGGTATTGACTGTTGAAAGCATTGCACTGGTACATGTGGGTTGTGCTGATAATAACTGCAAGTTGCTCTGAGAGCTCTTAGTCTGGAGGACAGTAATTCCCACCGTGTTGAGGGTTAGTCCAGTGAAGAAGGGAAATGTTAAGTGGTGGTGGGTGTTGAGTTTTGTCCACGGTAAGAAAGGGCAATGAAAGTAAGTCTTTTGTTATCAAACAATCAGCGTGAGTGAACAGTTTGCCTTTGCTTATAGTTTATTTTGAATGCTTTCATCATTTTTATTTGCTGTCAGTTCCCTGGATGAAAGTGTGGGAACAGAAGAGAGAGTGAAGAAAAGAGAGGCTCCCCTTCTCACCCTTCCAGAAGATGCTCAGCAGAAAGGGGGCAGAGCTCTCCTTTTCATCCCCCCGGCTATGCTGCACAGCATTGGTGACTACTGCAGTCGTTTTGAGCAGTACCTCCGGATGATTTCTCACGAGGCTGTCGGCTCCTTCAACCCGTGGCTGATAGCTGAAAGGTCAGTAAAATATTACGTGCCTCTGTTTATCTGTTCAGGAACCAAGTACCAAATATTATACTCACAAGAAAACTGGAGAAAGCACTGACTGAGGTCTCATGTCATGCTTTCAGAATACCAGACCAGTTGCCATCGAGTCAAGTCAGACTCATGGTGACCCTACGTGTGTCAGAGTAGAACTGCATTCCATAGGGTTTTCAGTGGCCAACTTTTTGCAAGTAGATTGCCGGGTCTTTCTTCTGAGGCGCCTCTAGACAGGTTCGAACTGCTAACCTTTCAGTTCATAGCCCAGCACTTAACTGTTTGTGCCACCCAGGGACTCTGATGTCATGCTTTAGGACCCTGGGATTCAAATATTTGCTTTGAGGCTAGTGGATAGGCTTTCTCTGCTGGCTGCCTTTTTCAGATACGGGAGACTGTAAAACAGCATGAGTGACAGTACCTGAAGGAGCCCTCTGCAGCCTCCCCTTCTCAGGAGCCCTTTGACAGGCTTGGGAGTCAAGTCAGGGCCGATTTCCCGTTGCTGTTAGTCGGGGCTGTGTCCTATCTGGAAGTCAGAATACTGACAGGCAGGAAACAGTCACAATCGTGCAGTCTTCGTGGTTGGGACAGGCTTGTGTGTATGAACAGCAGGCCTTCTGGCTTTGCAGCATTTTCTTTAACCCTTTTCCTACTGTGGGTCGCTTCCCCTGGGAAAAGTAGCTGTATGGAGTCCCAAAATGATATCCTACTGTGTGGCCCTTGTTTATGTACAAAATGCTAACTTGAAAGATATGCACGTAAGTCCATTCTTTTAAAATAGGGCCCAAATTTAGATGCGTAAGGGCGTCACTGTTTAAGAAATTTTTGGTGGCCCTTCTTCAGTGTAAAAGAATCCCTGGGAGGGGCAGAGGACACAGGAGTTGGAGCAGGAAGCAGAAACTGGGGCTGCCAGTCACCTCTTTTTAAACCCTGGTTTTATCCAAGAAAAGAGTCTGCTAATGCCTGCCCCAAGTACGTGCATTCAAGGGCTGTGGGGAAGTTCAAAAGGGATTTATGTGAAAGCACTTGAAAGACCTATGTTGTTACTGTCTTTGTTAGTGTAAATATACATCCTGGAATAGGCTCAAGGAGAGTGCTTTTTAAATATGTGTATTACTGTTATCTATGCATATGTTAATCTACTGAGAAATAAAGTAACTCATTAAAATCGATATTTACCAAAGTAGTAAACATGCATATGATTTTTAAAAGGTTAAATAGTTGAAAATATCAGTTTCTCTCCTTCTGTTTCCTTCCAAAATATCTAATCCTGTTCCATAGGGGCAACCACTGTTAATTCTCTTCACTACTTCTTGGTTATTTACTTTTGTATTTCTAATATTACACTCATATCTTAATTTAAATTTTAAGCATTAGACTTTGAATTTATTTTATTATAGCCTAAGATTTAACTTTTTTATGCATGGGCATACACTCACACACACACAATTCCCCTACTTTTTCCCACTTCCATCTTCCAAATATGGTTATACTCCAGTTTTTAGATAAAGCAGTATACAGAGTTTATTACAAATATGCAGATATTTTCCACTGAGCTAAGTTTTAGAAATTTTCCAGGGTTAATAATTGCCTCTTTTGTATTTGCTTATTCTTTTGTGTACTTATTATTCACTTTCCCCACACACTCTCCAACAACCTCAGTATAATTTCCTCATGATCAAAACAGTTCATCTATGCCTCCCTCTCACCCCCCTCTCTCATGAGACCCTCTTTCCTCCCCTGAGCTCTGTAGATCTGCTGCAGGCTCTCGTCTGGGACTTCGCTTCATCACCACCGGAGTGTCGGGTTGCTTCCCTTCTGGACTGGAGTCCTTATTTCCTCTTTCTTGGTTTACTTTCTTATTTCGATGGCACATACTCTACTTTGTGTATTGGGGGAACTATCCTAAGACTTACATTTTTATAAGTGTCTTTATTCTACTTTCATACTTAATTGATAATTTGCGTGGGTTTAAAATTACTGGTTTATTTTTTTCTGAAGAATATTCCTTCCTTCTTGTGTGGGAGTGGAGGAGGGGTTGTCACTTAGCTGCCAGGAGTAGTGTGGAGACTTAGCAGTCTAACTGCTTATTCTGCAGATTTTCCATCAGTGTCCTTGTTTTGTACCCCACACCTCACTTACCCTTCATGATTCCCAGTACTCCTGTTTCCTGAGCCTTGCTGATGTTTGTGGGACAGATCAGCTTGCTTTTTCTTGGCATCACCTTCTCCAGGCTCTTAGGTTTCTGCTCCCTCTGTGCTTCCCCTGTCCTGCTAAATCAGTTATGATTCTCTTCCTCTTCTGAAGATTCTGGACTTACCTCATCGACTTCTGTCTTTTTTGTTTTCCCCTTGTAGGTTTATATTTGTTTATTTCCCATTTATTTTAGTGGGGGTTTGGGCAGGAGCAGAGATAATCACCTGTGTTCAATCCCTCATCTTTAACCAGAAGTACTGGGACTTCCCATGTGCTTGGAAGGACTCTCTTGGGGGAGCGAATAGGTGAACTTGGCTTGCTCTTTTTGTTAACACAGCCCTGTAGCACGCTCGCTCCTTTTCCCATAACCTGTCTGGATTGGTGAGGTGAGTTAGCATATTGGGAAATCCAGAAGCAAGCCAAGGAAGATAGACTTTTCCCCGTATGTTTTAACCACTTGATTAAATGATGCCTTTTGTTCATAGTTGGTTTGTAGATGGAGGGAAAACCTCTCTCAGCCTGTAAGGAATATTAGATTAAAATCTACAGGGCAAAGCTATTAAAATATGCCTGCATTTTAAAAAATATTCTCTTCCTTTGCCATTCTTTGACCCTAAGTGACCGTGCATCTAAATATTCTAGCTGTTTTTTTTTTTAACCTCTCCCATTTTTGCTTCTTAATTGAATGTTCCAAAGATGAGAATTGTATTGATCAGATCCTGAAAAAGTATCCAATGACAGTTGACTCCATCTAAATAGTCTTAAGTGAGGGAGAAGCTAGCCAAGTCTTTTCTTTTCTTTAATGTCTTAATTCTTCCTTACACTTGAAGAAAAAAAAAGCACTGTTCCAGTAAATGGAGGAAGCAGATGATATTAACCAGATACAAGTAAAAGAGTGATTGTGAAAGGAAAGGCCTGAAGTGATAGTGCTTTTGATGAAAGCAAACTCTTAAGGATTCCTGGTTTCAAAAACAAGTTCAAGAGACATTTGGTTGAAAAAGACAGTTTGAACATATTTATTTATCTCTACTCTCTCCACCCCCCCCATCCTACTATATGGCACTAAAAGAATAAATAAAAAGCATGAAATCATAAATGACAGTAAACAAGAAACGTTAATACAATTTTTGGAAGCCGTAAAGTAATTAGACAAATGGCATATGCCCTAGGAGACCAGAGAAAGCCAAGTGCCTAATGGGACTGAAGCCAAGAGCCAGGTTATCTGTGCAGAAGAACTGCTGGTAAGACTCAGGACTTGGAAGCACCAGATGTTTGTGAAGGCATGGGTGAGCTGAAAACAGGAGGCGTGGTGGAAATTCTCATCCTTAAATATGAGCAAACAGCTAAATGACCAGACATTTGATGAAAACCATGAAAGATAAGACAGGCTATTATAACAGATAAAAAGAACTCTGAGGAAGCAGAGACAATGCAGGCAGCCAAGTAAAACATAAAAAATTTTTTAAAAATTGTTTTTTTAAAGTAATTTCGTAGAGAACTAAGTGAAGCTATTATACTATGAAATAAGAACAGGATGCTATTTTAAGAACTTCCAAAGAATAAAAAATTGTTCTTAGAAGTTAAAAATATGACAGCTGAAATAAATTCACTAGAGGGCTTCAAAGAAGAAAGCCAAATCTTTCAGAGTAGAACAAAACAAAGAGATAATAAAGGAGAAAATATTTTAAAATTAGAGGCTTGTTCTAGGAGATCCAACATCTGAATAATAGGAATTCCAGAATGTGAGAATAGGAAAATGGAGGGATGAGAAATTGCCAAAGAAATACTGTAAGAAAATTTCCCAAAAGGCAGTAGTTAGTCTCTAGATAAAAAGAGCCCATCAGTTGCCCACTGTGAGTGAGTGAATAATACAGGGCACGTGAAATTCACGAAAATGAATTTGAGCATCTCAGTGATAGAAGATGACAAAAGGCTCTGTTGAAAAATCAAAGACGGAAAAAATCTTAAAATTAACTGGAGGAGGAAAACAAAGAAACAGAAGAAGCCACGGAAGCTGGAAGTCCTGGCATAAAGAAAAGTCATTTTGAAAGAAAAGAATTACCAATCTGGACTACTAACCTCAGTGAAAGTAAATTTCAGGAAGGAAGGTGAGAAGAGAAGTTCCAAACAAGCAAAGCGGAGGAAATGTATCACCAGCAAACCTTTACTGCAGGAAACAGTAGAAAGGTATTCTTCAGGCAGAAAGAGAATGGTCACAGGTGGAAAGTCAGAAATACAGGAAAGCGTAGAAAAAACAAAGCAAATATGTAGGTAAATGACTATTGACTATACAAAACAATACTACTGAAGTCTTATGAGGATGTGTGTGTATGTATATATAAATTAAAACACATGATAGCAGTAGCATGTAAGTCAGGAACTGGATAAGTGGAGTTAGTGTTCTAACGTTCTTACATTGTCTGGGATGAGGGTGATTAATGTTAGACTTTAAGTCAAGGATGCTTCTCTTAATCTAGGGTAGGCACTAAAAGAATAGTAAAAGTGTATAAATCCAAGTTAATAGGAAGGACTGGAATAATAAAAAGTTACAAAATCCAAAAGAAGGCAAGAAAGGAGAGAATAGACAAACTGAAAATATTTAGCAATGTTATAGAATTAAACCCATATATATCAGAATTACATTAAATGAAAAAGGGCTGTACATGCCAATTAAAGACAAAAGATTGTCAGATTAGCAAAAACAAAAAACCAGCTGGGGTGGGAATGGGGTAGGAGAAGGGGAGTTAACACTTTTCTGCATATACTTTTTTGTATAGTTCTGACTTTTGTAACCATGTTAATGTTCCCTATACACCCCACCAAATCAACAAGTATGGGGGAAGCCCTAAATTGGAATACAAACAGAAACATGAACCTAACCGTATTTCAGATAACTAACATAATGGGGGAAGGGGCACATGGTAAGGACCAGCCTAGGTAACTTTGAACACAATATTTTAACTGTATGCTCTCTGGCTAAAGACAAAAAGAACTCTAAGCACATATTGAAATCCAGTTGCTAGGTTTCTTTTTCACTGTGGTATGGGTTAGCAGTTCTGAAGCTACTTTATTTTAGGATTGATCGAGTGAGTAAATAGATTGTGAGTAATGAGAGCCAGGTTTCTAGAAGACTAGAATGAATCCTCTGTGTGGAACTGGAGTTGGAGGTATCTGTATGAATGTATGGGTTTTTATAGATGTACGTGTGTGTGTTTCTTCGTTTGTCTGCTGAGAGGGCCTAGGAGCAGTGGCACCAGTAACAGTGGGCACAGCTACTACCCAAGTCTGGATTTCTAAATACTCTTCTCCACGAAAGATGCCAGGGCTGCTTGGAGAAACAGCTGATACCAACACTGCGGCTGGGGCTGGGGCTGGGGCTGGGGTTGGGGCTGGGAAAATATCAGATGAGCCTGGAACATCATGCTGTCCCAGAAAGGAAGTGTGCAAAGAATGATGGGGTCATGGCAACAGGACACAGGAGCCCGTTTGAAGGGTCTCCTACCGGCCAGATCTGGAGCAGTCTGAGCATCAGAATAAATACAAGGCCTGGGCTCTTCAAAAAATGTTAAGGTCATAAAAGACAATGACTAAAAAATTATTACAGATTAAAGTAAACTAAAGAGACATAAGAACTAAAGATAACATGGAATCCTGGATCAAATCCTGGAATAGGAAAAGTTTTCTTTTGCTGAAAAGGACATTATTTGGCCATTTGGCAAAATTTGAATAAGGTCTGTAGATAAGATTAGATGATAGTATTGTATTTTATGATTTTTATAACTGTACTGTGACTGTGTAAGAGAATGTCCTTGGTTTTAGGAAATACACACAGAGGTATTTAGGGGATATCAAGTCTGTAATTTATTTTCAAGCTGCTCAGGGAAAAAAAAAGTTGTGTATGTGTGTGTTTGTGTGAGTGTGTGAGGAGAGAGAGAGAACACAGATGTGGAGTCCTGCCCCCACACCCAGAGTGCATACACCTTTCTCTGTCAGGCAGCTGAGCAGCTGTCAGGAGTGGATCTGGATTGGGGTTGCAGCTGGTTTCCCTTCCCCTCTGGTTTCAGATGTCTTGAGGGTGAGGACCATGCTGGGGGTTACAGGCTCTTGCCTCTAGCAGAGCTTGGGGATCTGAGCACCACAGTCTTAATACCTAGTAGAACAAGTCCTCCCACCTTGTTTTTCGCCTTCAGACATATCTTAGCTCTTTTTGGCCTTTTGAATTTCCATTTAAATTTTGTAGAATTGGCTTGTTAAGTTCCCCAGCTGAGTACAGGAATGGCTCCCGTACTTGGCTGTACGTGCCTTTAGCTGTGTTGTTTGTCTTCCAGCTTTTCAGAAGAGCTGGTAGATGAAGCTCTGGGGGCCGTGGCTGCTGAACTTCAGGATATGTGTGAAGATTATGCAGAAGCTGTGTTCACCTCAGAATTCTTAGAGGCTGCTGCTTAAAGGCTCTCCAAGGCGGGGCCCCTCATGTCACACTGGAGAAGGGCAGCACTGCCCTCTGTTTTAGCCCACAGGAAATCTTTCTCCTCAGCTGCCCGTCCAGGCCCAGAAGGTGCTGCCCACTGAAGGGAAGGAAATGCCAGTGATGGCATCCTCACTCTACATTTTCCAGTTGTCATAGCAATGGTTCTGGTAGTTTATGACTGAAGGTGTTATATTTATCAGTGCCCAGGAAACGTTATGAATTGATTATGACAATATAACATTTTCTGAATGTATAATTTTCCTATTGAAATATTATGTTCATTCCTCTGGCTTAGTTTGGTGATCAGAATATTTTGAAAAGTAACAGATAAGCATCTTACCTAAAATAAAAGTAAGTTTCACCAGGGATTCACGCTGCTGTTGAACCTGTGGGTGGCATCGATGCCAACAAAAGTACAGTTACTACCTGGTCCTGTCGCGGGGGTCGTGTTTCTGTCTTTGGCAATTTCCTGTCGGGACACGTGTCTCCATCTGCTAGGTTACAGACTCTTGTGTAGGGCACAGGGTCTGGCTAAACTCCCAGGCCCCTCCTCCACTGCAGCTCACTGAAAATAGGAATCCACTAGTTACCAATGCACAATAGTAAACACACATTTCTTTAATGTTCAATTCCTGGGTGGTTTTTCAGATTTTTAGTTCCCCCAGAGTCTTCTCCTGCTGTGGGTTGACATGTTCTGATGTATAGAACGTTCTCTGAATTCAGAGGAAGTCTGAGGACATCAGACGAGGACCAGGCCTCCTGTGCCTCATCTCTGATGAGGTCTCAAGTGTCTGCTTCTGTGTTTCCAGACCACAAAATCCACCTCTTGTGGGAGAAGAGAACAGATCTGGATGTTGTGAGGACCTCTGGGTCTCCCCCAGAGAAAGGAAGAAATTTAAGAACCATAATAGCTTGGTCCTTGAACATCTTATATTCATGTTTTACCAAGAGATAAGCCGCTGTGTTTTCAGAAACTCTGAATTCAGAAAAAGAAAAGAAATGTGCGTAAAAATAAGGCCAGTGCCTAAAAAACTTCCACTCAGTTCTTTGTCTCAGGCTTGATGAAAGAAGTGTGGTGAACGAGTGACATGAGACGTGCCCCATGGAGTAATGTGAATCTTTGTATAACACTTCTAGTGTTCTCATCTGGGATTTTTCTCTAAAGTACATGTATTTCAGGTGATAATTTAAGCTGCTTGATAACACTTATTTGTGCAAAATTGATTTTCACTTAATGTTAATATTTTCCTGCTTAATTTCATGTAACTTCAGAATTAAAAAGGCTTCAACGGAAATTAAAGGTCTGTAATTGGGGAAGTAATATGTACACTTGATAGGAGTGCCTGTCATTGATGGTAATTTTGTGTGGCAGTTTTTACTGTGCTGATTTGTTTTTTTAAAATAAACTCAATATTTTAAAGTATATGTATGCCTGTTTGAAATAATTTACATCTCCTTTTTTTCCCCACAGGCAAAGTGAAATGTGATTTACAGAAACCACTGAGATACTTTAGTTTTGAAATGAGCATAGCAGCTTATTTGCCACCAGCACCCTCAGAAAGAAAGAAATGCTAATAAAAGCTAACATTATTGAGCACGTACTATGTCCCAGGCATTGCTCCAAGTGCTCTCCATGCCTTAAGTTATTTAATCCTCACGTCCATGTGAGCTGGATACTACGATTATTATGTTTTATAGATGAATAAGCCGAGGCAAAGAAAGGGGAGATAACGTGAGGAAACCAGCCTGTATTCAGCAAGGCCGTGGTCATGGGTTCACTTATTCCCGTAAAAACTATTGTAGCAATTTTGAGAGTTGACTGAAGTGCAGTTTCTCCTGCCTCACCTTGACCCCCACCCAGTTAATGTCCTAGACACTGTTGTCTAGAGCAGTCCCCTCCCCAGGCACTGCCTGCTGGGGCCTGCCCACTGCAGGGTCAAGCCCAGATTGCCTTGTTTCAAGCTCTTCCCAGTCTCCTCCTCCTTCTCCCACCAGGTGGATACCCCCCTCTGACTCACACAGGCGGGGCACATACCGGCCTTGGAGCCCCAGCCGCAGTGAACCTCCACAGCCAAAGCCTCCAAGACACAAAAATAAACTGCAAGAAATAAAAACTTCTATTTGAAAATGGAAGTTGAGTCTTTAAACTTTCTTGTTTATAGCACTGCAGCTCTGCCAGGCCTTTAGGCTTTTCGTTCTTTATGAACAAGAGCTGTTAACGAAGTCATTCTCTAAATCCCCTCAGTTTTCTCATTACCTTTTCTCGTATTTTCAGACACAGAGAGATGCATGAGTTTAGTATTTCTGTGTTGCAGAGGCTGTCCCCAGTTTACAGAGGTGCTGAAATTCCTCAGTATGTGTTCAGCACTCACCACCGATCTCTTCACAGCCCTGGCCATTTTTGGGTTTTACCTCTTTACATACTTGCCTCTGGTCTGTTCAGCTCCTTGAGCACAGGGACTCTGCCTGGCATGTAGTTGGTGCTCAGTAAATTTTTTTGAACTAGTGAAAGAAGGAAAGCACTTTTTTATGGGATCAGATCGTGCATGTGTGTGTACAGGCAGTCCCTGCATTAAGAACGAGTTCCGTTCCTAAATCTGTCTTTAAGTCGTGTTTGTACATAAATTGGAGCAGTTAGTCTCTAACGTCGCTTAGTTAAATGTTTGTCCTGGTGTGCATTATCAGGCAGTCCCCCAGTTAGGCCGCCATCAGGAGGCATGAATCAGGTGTGTGTGATTGACGCATTGAGGAGGTGGCGGTGGTGGCAGTGGCAGCACGTGCCAGGCTGGGCTCTGGCGGCCTTTACGGCGAGCCGGCGCTCACCCAGCCAAACTTTCAACAAGGAGGTCTTCCTAGGCACGATTGAGAAGATAACTCCAACCCTTGTCCTCTGGCTCCTACTTTTCGGTCTTAACAGGCAAGACTGAGGTCAAGCTTTGTCAGAGCCCCCAAACCTGCCTGACAGGAATCACCTGGTGCAGAAACTCCAGATTTCTGGGTGCCACTAGAGCCTTTCCAGGGCAGGTAAAGAGCCATTCTGAGGAAGGGAACCTAGGAATCTATGGTTTTGACAAGTGTCCCAGCTAATCTTTTTGTCTCCCCTCCCCCCCCAGCTAATTCCTCTCAGGTCATTTGGGGAGCCCTAGGCAAAGTGATCACTAAGCAGCCCTCAACTCATCTGCTCTGGCTGTGTGGGACTTCCTCTCTGAGTCCTAAACACAGTAATAATGATGTTTTGGTGTGGATCACAAAGTAGTGCCCGTTTGTTATTAGGAACCATTATATATACCTCACATTTGTAATATAATAGATTTTACAGGGGTTAGTTCATAATTACGTAAGTCGGATGTTTGGAACCTGGCAACTACCTGTATAGCATCTCTGTATAGGCCACAAAAATCTCCGTTAACCTCTCATGACCCTGAAATAGAGTGCCATCTGTGACACTGTCTCTGAGGTACTAATGCCATAGGAATTCCAACTCAGAACGCCAAGAACTTGCCCCCTGTCTGAGGCAGGAGGTGAGCCCTGCACAGTGCCTTGGTCACAGAGCCCCCCTGCATGATTGGGGGGATGGGCCAGCAGGGCTGGTGTGGGACCACAGAAACGACTCCTTCCTCTTCCTCTTGGTATCCTTGACTGTCTCAGGGCTGTGGTCCTTTCTCCCTCTGCCCGCTGGTGCTGGGGCAGGAAATCACTGGAGTTTGAAGGGGAGATGGTGATGGGAAGATGTCTTCTTTCTCGCTCACCTCCCTTCCTGGCTAACAGTTCCTGCTTCCCTGAAGGCAGGGCTGGGTGGGCTAGGTGGGGGTGGACATTGTGCTACAAGGAGGCACAAACAGCAAAGCTGGACTACACATCCGTGGGTCTGAAGAGCAGGAGAAAGGGTCTGAATGAAGCCCCTGAAGACAACAGGAAGGCAAGGGATCCCAGACCGGCGTCAGGAAGTTGCCTGTCTCTGTAGCACAGTCTACGTTTCTTTAACTCTTGTGTTTCTGAGAGGAAGTCTTTTTGGTGAATAGCTTGAGACCATGATGAGAACTCCCTGCAAAGCCTGGAGATTCATCAGGGGAGTCTGCTTCACCACAGACGACTCATCTCACAGATGTGCCCTTTGGAAGCGCCAGCTGGTGAGAGAACTGGTGGTTTTCGGGCTCTTGAGAAGCAGAAGAAAGACAGGGTGGCATGTGTGTATGTCTTCATGAACACTGGCCTTCTCCCATTCAGCTCTCTGTTGGTTCAAAGGAGAGATCTCTGATCTCTTTTAATACTGTCATGTTAGTTGATTGAGTCCAGTAACTTGGGCCTGGGCTGGAAGGGCCTCCTCCAGCCATCCTGTTACTCCTCGGTAAGGGACCCTGCAAATTCTAGACTGGGACCCTGGGCCAGCTGTTAGGCCCAGGTGAACTCAGTCAGCTGATAATATCAGTCCTGCCCTGGCCTGGAACTCACAGGTCTCATACCCAGACATTGATGTGTTTCTGTGGTCAGGCCTTCCCCTTACACCTCAGCTTTAGTAACTAGGTCCCCCTCTTGCCAGCCTGCCCAGGGCGACTGCTCCTGTAACACAGGGCCCTGCTTTGCTCTTACCTGTCTTGTCAGCCTGAAGTGTGGCCCCTGAACCTCAGCCCGTGGTGGGGAGCCTGCTGCCACCTCTCCCTGATACTGACCCTTCCTCCTCCCCATAACCCTCTTCATCTGCTCTTCCTAGAGTGCCCTTAGCTATTCCTGGGCTCTGTCTGCCTGGGAACTCTCACTGAACCAAATCTGTTGTCTCACCACTTTTTTCTGGCTCTGAACTTCATCCATCCAACTGGACTTTCTTCTGTGGCCTGCAGTTGGGTCTGTCCGTTCCCACCCCAGCAGATGTGTCCAAGGATAGGCTCTGCCATGTCGTGCTGCTGGAGGATAACCGAGACACCTCCACCTTCTCCCCTTCCCTGAGCCTGGCTCTCCATGGGGTCTACCACCCATAGAGGCTGCTCCATTCCTGTTCCTCTCTGTGGACCCAGGAGAAGGTATTCATGTCTCCTTGCTGCCACTCCTTCCTGACCACCGCTGTGTCCCCATCACAGGATGGTTCTCCCCTTAGGAAGTCCAGGTCATCTCCTTTCTCCCTGGTGGTGTCATTCATTTCCCATGACACCCCTGGGTCTTCTTAGAGTTTTTATCTCTATCTCCCCCAGTTCTAATATCTTAAAATCCTTCTTGGAGAACCTTAAAAAGTCTTTCCCAGTCATTTCTGGAGCACCTTTACACGAAAGAGCTGCTTTGCTCCTCCATCTCAACAACCCAACCTAAGACCATTCCTGAGAGCCTGTCCTCGCTGAGACACTGCCCAACTCCGAGTCCTGACCTCCGAAACCCCCTCTCACCACAGCCTTCTCCCTCCCAGCCACTGTCAGCCCTTGGCTTTCATTGCAGCACTCCACCCCCTGCCCATTTCTACTCTCAAAGATCCTTCTCGGGGTTTCTTCTTACCGGGCTTTACTCTTTGCCCTCCCTCTCTTCCAACCTTCCTCACTGCCTCCCTCTCTGAATCTAGCCACGCATTTCCCTTCCTCACCCATCTTTCCTCTGTCTTCTCTTAGGTCTTGGTGCCAGGTCAACTTCCCACTCCTGGGCTGCAGAGCCCTGCAGAAGGTCCCCGGGCCTGAGCCAAGAAGCCCATGTACGTTCCTGCCCCGTGCTGGAGTGGGGCCTTCGGTCTTTCTGTTCATGCTTGGCCACTCACATGGGGATGGTGAATTCCAGGGAGCTTTCCAGCTCTGAAATTCTGTGGCCAAGAGGGGCAGGATCAAATCCCAGACACATGGGCTCTGCCATCTACCCTTCAGCCCTAGAGTTCCTGGGACCTTTGCTCAATTAGGACCTGGGACCAAAGCAGACACTGATTCCTCTATAGCACATGGGAGGCTGGGGGCCAAGAGGTCCGTGGAGATACAGTGACTACCAAAGCATGTGCAGCCACACTTCCTCCATGGCCCTAAAGACCCCCTGGGCATGATCCAATCTCAGCGACAGACGTGGTTCTCCTTAACCATAACCGCCCAACACACCACTTTTGGAGAGGTACCTAGAGGCCAAAAGAAGTTATATTAATTCTTTAGATTTAACAACATCGAATATCTACCCAGTACTTGAAAATTTACAAAATGCCTTTAAATATATTCTCTATTTAGGTGACTGTAGCCACCTGGCTTTGCCTACCAGCAGTAATTTGGGATGGTTACGAATCAGAGCCAGGGCCAGTCAGCCTGAGTTAAAATCCTGTATGATCACTTCAGTTTCCCAATCTGTGAAATGAGGATAAAAATAGCACCCAACCAGGGCCATTGTGAGGGTTAAGGGAAGTAACCCATGAATACACGTAGAATAGCACCTGGCATCTAGTAAGCGCTCAATAAATGTTAACACTTAAGTTTATTACTGAGAACCTTGTAGAGGGAAACTTTCAGCTTGTTCTCATGGGTTTAGTTCTGAGCTGCTTGCCTTGCCTTCTTCCTCCCATTGTATTCTTTCCTGCTTAGAATCCCCCCTGCTCTAGACC